ATCCAGACGCACTTAGAGGCGTACATCACATCACATTGGTCCCTCTCCCTGACGTGGAAGGCCTCCTGACCCGCACAGTTGGCCCCAGATCGACGCAGGAACCCTCAGTGACGCAGCAACATCCCTGATCGCCGCAGGTGGTCCAATAATTGGTACATAAACTCCAGTTCGGCGTAACAGGTCCATGCTATAACTGGGTTGAAAGGCCCACTATTTGGAGCTGGGGGCCCTGACTGGTATAGGATCCTTCCATTACCACAATGTGAGCAATAAGCATAAGCTCTCATGTTTCCTTTCATTGTGTGAGAGCCCCGACCAACGTGAGAGGTCCTCTGCCATTCTGGGTCCCGACCCAGTCCGTGTTGAGCGAACGTTTCGTTGACTGACTCGAGGCCACTTGTTGACACAGGACACCCTGTTAGGCACTAGGCCCCTCACCGATACAGGAGCCCCGCATTGTTGAAGGGGGCCCGACCAATGCACATCGCCGGCCCGGCCGTGTCCCTGCTTGGGAAATGGGCCCCAGAGCTCAGGCCGACATGGAGCCGACTGTTCGGTATTGGCAATCTCTGGCCGAAACAGAGGAATGCTCTGTCTCAGGGGTCCCCAATCGGTGCAAGAGGCTGCGGTCCCCAACAATCGGGCCGTTGATCTTTGGTCTCGAGAGAGCTTGATCAGCGCGCAGGACCTTCTAGCTGGCATTGCAGTGTCGGGCTCTTGTGCCCCCCCCCCCTCCCCCCTTCACTCGGGCCCAAGATTACGACCTTCGGTCGGTCTTTCAAGCCTTTCGGACCCTCAGATCGGGCCCTTAACACGCGCCCCGGTGGCCAGTTGTATATCCTTCGCTCGGATGGGGCTCAATTTGACCCCTCCCTGAGATCTCAGAAACTAAGAGAGCTAGAAACACCAAATTCGCAGGATGTGTTGGACTGTACATGAACTCACTTGGGTGAAGGTTTTAGGTTCCTAGATTATCACCTTCGGGTGAATTCAGGTCAAACAAGGTCTAACTCCAGGTTGGTGTCCAAGGCGCCCACAGAACCTAGACACCTGTTGTAAGCAAAAAGGTCACACGTTCATTTAATGTCAGTGACCTCATTTGACCTTTCGAAGGTCGTGGTGACCAAAATCACACCAGACTGCTTTGAGTTTTGCATTTGAATAAGCGAAACGAATTACGCCAGACAGCATGCCCCTTAAACAAACAATTAACCTAAGTCGCTTTAGGTAAGGGGCATATTCTGACCTGAAAAAAGTCTGTGGAAGAAGTACAATGTGTTCCCGTTATCAATAAATTCGAAATGACCACCACAAACCACTCTATACATCAAGCCCTAGAGTAACAAAACAGGTTGGTTTTGACTTTGGTCTAACCTTCATAATTTACCTTAGGTCAATGAAATCTGTTCATTCAATTATTGTGTAGCCTAAGAAAGCATCTTAGAGATGTATGGCTTCGTCTCGCACTCCGTTGTTGCATCAGATTGAACGATTCCGCAGAAAATGACCTCGCTGAATCCATGGTTTGGCTTTGACCTGCCGTAGGTCAGTGACCTTAAAAGGTAAATCTAGATTTTTGACAGCATACCATCCGCTATTCAATTGTATATACTTATGCAAATTTTTGAGCGGCTGCGCTGCCCCGCTAGGAAACTATTCCGGAAAACCTTTCGCGGAGTCAAATAGACCCCGCACGAGCGCGTGTTAATTATCGGTGTCGAGGGGCGCATCCGGTCCCTTGGAGCCTAAGGGGGGGAGGGGGCACGTACCCCTTGCCCTCCCCTTTTTGACTGCGCTACTGAATCCTGCAACTCCTCAATGCTTTCTCTTACACGATCAGTTCCTTGAGATTAAAATCACCACTAACTCCATGGACCTGAATCGTGCATAACCTCAGATAACGGTCAAAATCAGGCTACCGGAAGACTTGCTTTGTAAGGTAATTTGTGTTCTTTTCTGAAACTCCTTGATGACAGAGACGGCAGCAGGCATTTTGTTTTGATTTCATGAATGTCACAAGACGTCACTGGCCTAAAATGAACCGGGTGAACCTTTTGCCCCCAGGAACGTGGCGTTTGGCGTAGTTTCTAGTGTAAATTTCAAATTCAAATATCAGAAGTCTTAAACATTTATCGTCATTTGGACCTTCTGAAGGTCAAGTAGGGTTACGTACCTACTAGGAGCAGCAAACTTTTTGTTCACGAACAGCTTCTAGTTTAAAGCTGGTCGTGCCATGTCTAAAGGCGCTTCGAACACCCATGTGGAGCATGGTCTGGCTTGACGTTACTTGGCCAAAAGGCCACGGCCAGGGTACCTCGAAGTTTGAACAAATGATCCCGCATGAAACGTGATTCCAATTACCTGAATAATCTGGGCCCGTGCTAAGCGGGCGAATCCAAGAGTGGTCTCCGGCGCGGCAACCTTCAGTTTGTCTTGGCAACGTCACTGGGACAGATTCTTGTCATCGTAATAGGACTAAGTACGATATGCCCAGACGTAGCTTTCCTGCTCTATAATGACTCTTGTATACTACGAAAAACGAACATTATGGCCTTTTTGTTAGAATATGATTTGTGGTACGATGAAAATTAATGCGAGGTAGAGTAAATTCTTAATTAAGTTCAGAATAAACGAGCAAATGCTGAAGTATGCTCACAAATAGAAACAAGGTAGAACAAGAACGCCAATACAACTTCCATTGTGTGTGTGAAGCTATGAATCAAAACATGTTGGCTCTTTTGTGACCAATTTTCTATAGCAGCGGAAATCAGCACCCTCCAGACAATACGTTGCAAGCTCGCGCACTGTCCTCTTCAAAGCCGCGCGTCCCCACGCCCCGCGCCACCGCCGCCGGCCACGCTACCTCTCCGCCCCGGTGACGTCGCGCAGCCGCCTCTGATGACGTCCGCCAGGTGGCGCAGTGCCCACATCGGCCGCCGAGCGCCCGTCGCAGACTGAGCCTGGGCGGCCCGTCCTCACCGTGGCAAGTCCGCTGCCGCTGCCGCCGATGCAAGCCTGCGTCGGCGGGACCGGCCCGGGCGCTCGGCGTCCTCGCCCCGTCAGCAGCGACGCCGCCGGCCACGGACTGGAGGCGTGTTTATCACGCCGCGCTCGGCTGGCAGGCGGCGACCGACGCGTTGCCAGCCAATGTCAGGGTCGCCATCCCCCCCCCCCCCCCCGCCTGCTGACGTAACGCCAGATCGGGGAGGGAGAGGGGCAGGGGCGCGGGCGAGCTGGCAGGTACACTGGCGAGGGGTGCTCGGTGGCGTGATCGTGTGCGATATGCATCATACGTTTTCCAAATAAGACCCGTCGAGAAACGTTTCGAAGTACCAGAGATCGCTCCCTGACAATCGAAGCTCTGTAAAGTTAATCTCCCATTGGACAACGACGGAAGACTTGGGGCCCTGTGACAGCTGCATTGAGCCCCCAGTAAACAATAGCCAGCTACTCTCGAGTTTTGTGACGTTTAAATCGGCCGTCAACTAATGGTGAGCGACCCACAACCTACCCTGCTCAAAATCGGACGTCGGCAGGCATCCCAGACCATCTCCACGAAGCTTTCATGGCTCGTGAAGACATTTCATGCTGTGACCAGGCGACCAGTCCCAGTCAATGCCACGACAAACAGGCTGCTCACCCTCGATATCAGCGACGAAACGCATAACTTCGGAGTTCTACCCGCGGCAATTCCGCAAAGTCCGCAACCAAGCCCATCAAAACGAAGTAGCATCGCACGTGATTTCACCAATGCTCTCCGTACCAATTGCTAAGGTCGGATTTGAGGCGGCCGCACTGTCTCTATTCACGTGGCTTCACCAGCCTATTCTGGCATTCGTATTGACGTTTTTCTGCATGAACCTGAACACTCGTAACATACTCGGCGACCCGGCAGGCTGATGACTGCAACTGTTCAGGCGACACTGACGGCCACTGATGCATCACATGCGTTCGGTGTCGTTGGGCGCCGCCGTATTCGGCGCGCTGGTCTGTTTCCGTTTTGTTACAAAATTTTCCAGATTCCGTCATCGGCTGCGTCGCACTCAAACGTGCAGAGCAGGCTTCGGCTTTCACAATGACACGCGATATGGTCCAAGGCTCCATTCTCGCCTCACGTCGATTCGTGTAACTACAAGCGATATGATGGAACACAAGCCTTGCGCAAGGCCCATCCTGTACACTGGTGATACAAAATGGCGGGAGCAGACATGCTGACGTCAACGATGATACAAAATGCCCTATGCACTTGACAGACTCATTCGGAGCGACCGGCAAATACGTGTTGCCGGGGCTGAGCCCCTCGCGGTCGGCCGCCACAGCTGACATTCGCGAACCGAGGCGGGCGTCACTGTCGAAGGCGCTGATCGCGGCTGTCATTCACTTCAGAGCCTCCACAGCGGGCACGGCACGTGCCCAGGACTGAACAACAGCGCGGCCCTCCGGCACGGTCGCAGGACAGCAGGCCCTGTGGCACGGTCGCAGGACAGCAGGCCCTGCGGCACGGTCGCAGGACAGCAGGCCCTGTGGCACAGTCGCAGGACAGCAGGCCCTGCGGCACGGTCGCAGGACAGCAGGCCCTGCGGCACAGTCGCAGGACAGCAGGCCCTGTGGCACGGTCGCAGGACAGAAAGCTCTGCGGCACAGTCGCAGAATAGCAGGTGCTGCGGCACGGTCGCAGGACAGCAAGCCCTGCGGCACAGTCGCAGAACAGCAGGCCCTGCGGCACGGCCCCAGGCGCTGCAGCGGTGCTGTGTGTGTGAGCCCTCTGTTAGCGGCCGGTCGCCCCCTTCCCCCTATACACACGAGGTCCGATCACGACCGGGCCGCCCCGGTGCGGCCGAAGGGCACCAGTGGATCACATGACCGCACGGTTTGGTCCATGCCCGTTTGAGGAGGCTCAGACCTGGCCTACGACCAGAAGGAGCCATACGCAGTCCTGCGCGGACCAGACTCGGACCAGACCCGGACCAGACCGGTCCCACACAGACCACACCCCGAGAGCAGGCCGGACACCGCCGCCGGTGCCACAACCGTCCGGGCGCCAAGGGCAAGGCGCGAGCCCTACTCGTGCGGCACGGAGCTGGAGCTGGAGCTGGCGGCAGCGGCGCCGCAGCCGTCAGCCAGCTGCTCCTCCAGCCGCTTAGTCTGGATACGAATGCTCTTGGCGATGACACGGTTCTGGTGGTCCAGCTGCGGGAACAGGTCTGCAGAGCGGGCGGGCGGCTGGCGTCAGTGGTACGCGGCCACGAGAGGCATCAGCGGGGAGGTGGGGGTCGAGGGCGGCCGAAGATCCGAGCTGTCCGCTCCAGCGCATCCCCGGCTGACGTGGGACGGCTGCCGTCGGCTCGTCAGTTGCGGCGGATCTCTGGCAGCGCGCGACAGCGGCACCTTTACTGCGCGGTGTACGGAGGAGACGCACAGATACGCGCCGGTGGACTGAGCGCGAGGCGCACCACATCGGCTGACACCACACTGGCCATCGCTCGCGACGGGAATCCGGCGGCGGGCTTAGGCGCGCCCACGGGGCACACACTCGGCTGGTGCCGCCTGAGGCGGTGTGCGCGCCACATGCACACACCTCACGCTGCAGCCGCTCATGCCATTTCCCAGCGTGACACGTCGTAACGACCGCGACAAAGTCGCCACACCGGGCTGTTGCCAAGCGACGGATGTCTGTTTACAAGCCACACGCGCAGGCCGGGCGGGCAGGCTGACGCGCCGGGCCGACGCGCAAAAAAGGTGCGCCGTCTGCCAAACCCGCTGACGCCGCGCAACCGCAGCCAGAACCCCGAACACTTCGCGGCAGCGGGCGCCGCGCAGACGCGAGAACGGGGGCCCTGCCCGTCCCCTCCCCCCGTCCCCCGCCCGGCCCTGTCGGCTTACGTTTGCAGTTGGCCAGCGCCATGGTAGCAGCGTTCATCTCGGCCATCTGGATGCTGTGGCCGGACGCCTTGGCCAGCCGCTTGCCTTGGAAGTACACGGCCACCGAGTAGACGCGCGTGTTGGTCGGGCCCATGCACTCGATCACCCTGCAGGCGACGCGGCGGCACGCGTCAGGGCGGGGCGCCACAGGCGGGTCAGTAGAGCGCTGCAGCACAGGCGTCCAACACCCAGCCACGTTCAGGGACGACACCCGCAGAAAGGCACGGCGGTTCCTCGACAACACAAACGGTGCGAACCATTTGCTGGGTGTCCTTATTCTAACAGTAATCGATTTGTAAAATACCAGGGCCAGTGTTCAGACGACGTTTTCAGGCAAGCATTGGTTATATTGGCAAACCCCGAACCTTTACCTAGTATAAGGTATGCACGCGTTCCAACATAGCCAGCAAGCCTACCTCACTTTCGTTACGCACGGCCCTTCCGTAAACCGCGCGGTTATTCAAGGTAACTAGTGGATAAGGGACTGCTACATGGAAACAATGCACTAACCTGACAGCTCTTGCTTTCGGCGAGATTACGCTTTCGGCCAATGGGCGTTTACCGATCCCGCGCACCCTACAGAGTCGAAACACGCCCACACGCAAACACGTGCACACGGCGCATTGTCAGGTCACGGCCCAGGGTCAGCGGAACGGGAGCCGGTCGGTGAGCGCCGGCGGCGACTCACTTGTACACGGGGATGTCCGGCTCCGAGCCGTCCATGTTTCGCAGCGTGAGGCAGCACTGCTGTAGCTTCGACTTGGGGTCGTTCCAGTCCTGGTTTAGGATGAACAGCTGCAGGCGCGGGAAGAAGCAGACCTCGCAGAACTTTCGGCAGAACTCGAGGCCCTGGCGGACGGCGGCGGGCCATACCAGATCACGGCAGGTCATGTCAGCACCGGCCACCGACCCGGGGCAGACCACGACCGCCGCTCACTTCGGGCTCCGTGCGCGTCAAGCCGGCGGTGAAGGGAGGGAGGGGGGGGGGGGCAGGTCTGCCCCAATAGCTCAGTCGGTTACAGTGTGTGCCTTACGTGTGACTCACCCGCAGCAGGGTGAGTTCGAGTCGCTTTAGGACATCGTTATTTAAGCAAAAAGCACTGCTTAGCGCGGGTAGTGATCTCATAAAAAGGGCTAGACCGATAGGTACAATTTTTCAACCCGCCAACCTATCAACATCTGACCCGCAAGAGCCCGCCGCTTTTTAGCTGGATTGTGGGTCAGACTTCACGGGTTATGCGGGTCTGAAACTTGTAGCGTACTGCCGAGTGCAATACAGTTATGTACCAAGTGCAATACAGTGTACTTGTACTACCAATCACAATACAGTTATGAAAAATCACATTTTGATTTGTATGGCAAGAGCAACGGTGACAGAAGAGCTGTGGCAGACAGGACAAACCAGTAAACCAGGTTGCGCAACTTGAACAATTTTGGTCAGACATATCACCGAAAAACTCAAGAACGATAGCCCCATTTTCAAAGCTTGGCCTGATCTCATTGAGCAATAGTTCGGAGGCTTATTACCATAAACGCAGCTACAGAGAGCAACACAGCCCGCACTTACTGGTGGGGCGGCGATAGTGTAGTGGTTGACGAGCCTGCGTTAATCACTGTGTGTCTGGGAAACCTGGGGTGCGAGGTTCGATTCCCCGCAGTGCCCGCCCCTCCTGCCAGGGTGAGAGGCAGGCGACGCCATAAAGCCCAAGCAGCTGAGTGCGTCGTAAAGCCTCCATGACGACGACGACCACAGCTACTGGTGGCCACGAAACACAGTTTTGCGCAATAAAAGTTGGAATTAAAAACGTGGCAACATCGTTTGCCGCCGATGCTACCGATGCCCATGCTGATGCTACAGGAATGAGTTCAGCCAGTCCACCCTGCCACATGAAGTTGGCCACTCAGCGCCGCACGGGCACACCAGCCCTGACCACTCGCCAGTAGTCGCGTCAACAACGTCTGAGAGGCCAGTCAAAGAAACACATCATCGCTGGGCGATTGCCAAAGACGTGCATTCACGCTTGATGCCTTGCCAGCCACTGACTTTATCCACATAGAGCGCGCCGATGAAGGCCTCCAACAGATCGGCCTTGTCCTTCATCTTGATCTCGGTTTTGAGGTGGCTGTACGCGGCGAACTCCGTCATGCCCAGGTCCGTGCACACCACCGCCTGTGTTCGGTTGTTGACCAAAGAGGAGCGCAGCAGCTGCAGGGCGAGATCACGGGTCACGGGTCACGAGGTCACACGAGCTGTCATAATCACCGGAGCGGCTCCCGGCGCCGCCGGAGCCCAGGTTATTACGCACACCTGCATACGGACCGTCACGCAGCAGGTCCCATGGTCCACAATGCACAATGCGTCATAACTTTTGAAAAAGGTCAAACAGAAATTATAATTATGTTGCTGATTATTTGGCCCGCGGTTTCCTCGGCGTTTGTGAAAAAAGAAAAGATATACGTTGAATTGAATGCGCCATTTTGAACGCTGGTCTTTCTCACACCAACCAAAGCAAATATGTCGCCATTGAAAATGACCAAACAGTCCAAAAATTTCCCACCGAAACAAAATCCACTTCAAGTGCTAATACACAACGCTTAAAAGTATAATAAAGTATCATTATTATTTACTTACTGTCATGTGCCTCGCAACAGCGCTGACATAAGTTAACATGAATTAGGTATGAATATCCAAATGTCCACGTACTTGCTGCTGATGGCGAACTACCCCAACAGCTGCGCATGCGCGAGCAAGAACACATGCGATCTGCTGTGCGGCCGCCGTCGCTCGTCATGGCAGCTCCATGGCGATTGCGATCTTAGGCAACGTCGACAGCTGTGACCATTTTGCGTCCATAAGAGTTGACACTTACCGGCGCAAGAAGAGTGTCAACTGTCCCATAAGAGTGTCAACTGACTACTGTCGGGCGCAACTGGTTGAAAATCCCGTCCGTTGAAAAGTCGATGTCGGACCTGTGCTGAAAATCCTGAAGACTGAAGATCATCCGTCCGCTAATTAAGACAATAACTGACCCGTGGTAAGCAAGGGAGAATCGTCGGTAACATTAGCAGGATGTGCAAGACCCATAGTATCCCGTCCGCAATGACGTACCAGCTCTTCGGCGAGCTGTGGACGTGGTTAAATAACGTGGGGGACGGCGAGCGGCTCGTCGCAACGAGGACAACCAGCCCGATCTCGGCCGCGCCACAAGTAGCCATGCGTCGCGTGTATGTGACCAATCCATATCCTACAGAGGGTTACTTCTTCGTGTCTTGCTCTGCGACTGCTCGATGCCCACGGCCGGACTGTGGCTTAATCGCTTTCACCCATTTGTTGGCTGTCTGATTCAAACGGCCTCGCCCGGTTCCTTTTTTGTTCGAACGGCGTTGCCAGGTTCCAGGTCATGATGGCTAGGTGGAAGTCCTTTGCCGGTAGGGGTAAATGGCGCATACATGGTCTGCACTTGCCGCTCGTTTTGCGGCCGCGTCAGTAAGCTAATGACCTGCGATACCCACATGGCATCGCACCCCTGAACTGTCGCCGTGGTGAACGCCTTCCCAGCACGCCCGCAGCCAATGAGCACACAGACGTAACGTCGAAGGCGGCATCCGTCCGCCTTCATGCCAGTCGCTGGCGGGCTTTGTTTGGACCGTAGCTACACGGGCCCGGCACTGCTGGTATGAATGGCCCGCCTAAGCCACAACGTGGAGTTGGGGGCGATTTTGGGTCTGGGGGATAATTTGTTTTTTTTTGGCTTCTCGACTGCAACATTCATTTTGCCCCCCAAGATTGCAGTGGCCAGGTTTAGGCGGAGATTTGATGGGGCTCGACTGTAGACAGTGACTTGATGGGGCTCGGCTATAATTCATCTTATCTAAGCTCGTCTAAGCTGAGCTTTTACATCATCGCTTGAGTTTAGCAGCTAGCAAATCACACAGCTTTACTGTGTTCCTGGCTCAAGAGGCTGGTTTGAGGAGGATCACGTTTAGAATCGGTGGCAGTTGCCAAATCCCATGACGTGACGAAATTCCGGCTCCTCGGTCGGGAAACCGATGACCGAACAGGTGCGGCTCAACTCTGCTCGCCTAGGTGAAAACGCAGGCCGAACACGTCAGGTGGCGGCTCAACTCTGCTCGCCTCGGTGAAACGCAGGCCGAACACGTCAGGTGCGCTTCAACTCTGCTCGCCTAGGTGGAACGCAGGCCGAATACGTCAGGTGCGGCTCAACTCTGCTCGCCTCGGTGAAACGCAAGGGCCGAACACGTCAGTGCGGCTCAACTCGCTCGCCTCGGTGGAACGCAGGCCGAACACGTCAGCTGCGGCTCAACTCTGCTCGCCTCGTGGAACGCAGGCCGAACACGTCAGGTGCGGCTCAACTCTGCTCGCCTCGGTGGAACGCAGGCCGAACACGTCAGGGTTGCGGCTCAACTCTGCTCGCCTCGGTGAACGCAGGCCGAACACGTCAGGCGCGGCTCAACTCTGCTCGCCTCGGTGGAACGCAGGCCGAACACGTCAGGTGCGGCTCAACTCTGCTCGCCTCGGTGGAACGCAGGCCGAACACGTCAGCTGCGGCTCAACTCTGCTCGCCTCGGTGGAACGCGGGCCGAACACGTCAGGTGCGGCTCAACTCTGCTCGCCTAGGTGGAACGCAGGCCGAACACGTCAGGTGCGGCTCAACTCTGCTCGCCTCGGTGGAACGCAGGCCGAACACGTCAGGTGCGGCTCAACTCTGCTCGCCTCGGTGGAACGCGGGCCGAACACGTCAGGTGCGGCTCAACTCTGCTCGCCGGGGGGGGGGGGGGGACGCAGGCCGTGCGCTGGACGTTCTGCGCCACAAATACAGGGACAAAATACAGCTATATTGCACCTCAAAATAGGAGAGCATGAATAGGAACACTGCAGAAAAATCTGACTTATCCGCAAAGAACACAGTCTGCGCAGCCAAAGGTGACAGAATGTAAGTGCATCAAAACCAGGACGTTTAATGCGAACGGTGAAACGCAACGCTCCAGCACTTGCTTGCTAGTATATAACAGTTAGCGCAACATTGAAATGTTAAAAGCTGGCAACCGACGTTCAGAAATGAATGATACCGCGATACAGTTGCAGACAACATGTACCGTGCACAAGATCAGGGATGCTCGGGCTGAGCTGAAGCACGATGCACACTAATTTGCTTCATGCATGGCAATACGCATCGATGTAAATTATTACCGCTGCTGTAGCATCCCAGGCTGATCTTCCACGACGTCTAGAAGTAAAAGGCTCAAAACCTTTTCAATCGCAAGGTCGTCCTATTTTGGTGCCGCACGACGAAAACATTTGACAACTGGGCCCGAGAGTGACTGTGACAAGGGTGACTCCAACAAGTCGCATAACCGCAATAAGCGCGTGTCGACCACTCGCGTGTGCGCGAGCGAAATACGCTTATGACTTCAAGGGCGCACGCACGCATGATCTGTGGGTGACTGACCTGTTAAACAATACTTAAATGTCGCCAGACAACAGGCCTCAGTCCTACGAGCCGCTAATGTGGTAGTTAGATGCTCGTCCAGAATCAAATGAGGTCACCCACTGACCATTCAGCACCCTGCTACTAAGCCACTGTGTCATTTTACTCCGATCCCTTTGAAATAGCGCCTCCAGAGCCAGCAGTCTCCGATGAATGGAACTGCACCAGCACGATGATGTAGGTGAGGATGGTGGACGCGATGGCGAGCAGGGTGGAGCGCTGCAGACGAAACAGTACCACGTCGCCCAGGGTGTCCAGATCGCGCTGTACCGACTTCTGGACCAGGGCCGCCTCGCTGCCCAGTTCGGACCGCTCCCACTCGATCTCCAGCAGCAGGTCCCGACTCTCGCCGACCAGGTCCAGCACGCGCTGGCTGGCTTCGCACGGCCCGGCTAGCGTGACGGCCGCGAGGAACTGGTACAGGATTTGAAGGACGGCGTGGACAACCGTTGCTTCGCTCATCAGAAAAGAAACTACAGAGATCATCAACGTGATCTCAACAGCCGTGGCCTCCGCCATGCTCACAACGAGCTCTGCCGTCATGGCACGGGTGAGGCGAGAGAAGCTCTGCGAGAGACGCCTCTGTAGGTGTCCGATCTGCCGCAGGTCAGCACGGCCCGGCCGGTGACCCACGGCGACCAGAACCCTGAGCTCGGCATTAACGGCCTTAAACCCGGTCGCCACCAGGTCCGCGGCAAACATGAACTTCGACGGAACCAACAAGAAAAAGAACGAGACAACGCCGCCCTGCGCAGCGAGTGCGACAATCTCCACGCATTCTGAACACGGTTTTTGGCAACAAGTGAAGCCTCCACCGCCGGCAAATAAGGTGACCATTATGAGGGCGGCCAAAACAACATTCACGATCCACAGCCAGACGGCGGTCTGTCCGGGCTTGCTGATGTTCTCGCCAGGCCGTGGTAACTTGGTCACTTCATCGAGACTGGCCACGATGTGGCACATTGCGTGCTGGTAACGCCGCCGTCCCCAAGCGAAGACCACGGTGAAAGTAAGCCATACAAGGACATATCCAAGACCGAAAAAGCCTGTCTTGCTGGAAGCGACAATGATCGATTCTCCCTCGCTCATGGCCTGCAACCCCATACCGATGTTGCTTCTGAGCATCACCCAGGAGACCCGTGCCAGCAGGCCGTACAGGAGTGCGGCGTACACCCACGACGTCCAGCCGGGTCCCCCAGACATGCCGGCGGCCTGCAGCAGGCGGACGAAGGCTCGCGCCGCCCCTGAGGCCAGGCCCAGCCGCTGGGCTGCCTCCCCGGCGCCGTCTCCGCCCTCCGGCTGGAGGGCAGGCGAGCCAGCTGTCTTCCAGGCCGGCTGCACCATGGTGACGGCACAAGTAATCTGGATGTGGTGGACGGACGGAAGTCCGACCAGAGTCTGAGGCCAGAAGTCTGGAGACAGAATCCGCGGAAGGAGGCGTCGAAGCAGCGACCGCGTGCCCCGCCCGGCCAGCGTCCTCCGCCATAGTGAGCCGAGGCCGTCAGCAACGAGCCTCGCGATCACCACGGCACAACATCAACAGCCTGTTATGTCGATACGCCGTGCACGCATGCAAGAGCATAGCCGCCATGGCCGCCGTAAACACCCTTTTGAAGATGCACTGACGAGGACGCCTGCTTCATGGCACCGTTACGCGAATGGGGGCGGCCGGTTTCAACCATGCCCAGAATGCACCTGAACAGACAGAACGCGGCCGTCCTCGGTCATGGCGTGTAGTTGCACGGAGCTGGACGCTGACAAATCATGTTTGCGGGCTCTTTTGACGACCCCAGCTCTGTTGCTGGAGCGGGTAATTCGCCGATCGATAGCATCATTCACTACGCTGTTGATCGAGCGCTGGGCGACGTGCCATGCGAAATTCGATAAGTTGCATCGATCCACAATGCGGTGGACTTGACTCTTGGCCACTTGGTCGTGGCATGTGCCTTCGCTGTACATGCACCAGACAATTTTCATCTGCATCCACCATGCCGGCCAAGTTATGATTGTCAGGGAAGCGATCACACGAGTGCTGACCGCAGCTCCTGTACTCACCCACAGGTGCAGCTTGTGGTGCTCGGAGAAGTGGTGGCACGGGTACCGACCGGGGCCTCATTTCACCTACAGGTGCACCTTGTGGTGCTCGGAGAAGCGGCGGTACGGGTACCGACAGCAGCACCTGCACTCACCGACAGGTGCCCCTCGTGGTGCTCGGGGAAGTGGCGGTACAGGTACTCCGAAGCGATAAGCTGGAGCACGGTGTCGCCGAGAAACTCCAGCCGCTGGTTGGAGCCCAGCGTGAGGTTGTTGAAGCCGATGCTGCGGTCGGTGAAGGAGCGCGCCAGCAGGCGGATGTGCATGAACTCGACACCCACCAGCTTCTCGAACTCGCGCATTTGCTGAAGCAAGCGGACACAATCAGACATCTCACAGTAGGCAGTGTTCATTCGCGATTTCGACGCAGAGACGGCAGAATCGTAGCCAAGGCGAGTGTAGGCACCTGGAGTCTTCAGGCCCGTTCCCAGCCTTCAATGTCCCGTTGACGTATCGTTACAGCGGCCACCCGCTTTCAGCATTCAGAGGGATCAACAGACCTCCGAACCGGAGCATAACACATGTGCACCACATGCGTAGTGGGTCAGCTCCACCGACGTGCCCATACCAATCACGGTACTCCAGCCGAAAGTCTCCGCCCATGGTGACGCATCACGTTGAACTGAGCGCGGGACCAGGCATCGGCCACCCAGACGACCCCTCCCCCCCGAGACTTATGAGCGCCGCCGACCCAAGCCCCTGCCGTGCCGCCCCCTCCGGCGGTGGCACCGCTGCCGGCGCGCCCCGCACCTGAAGCCGTGGGAACTTGTCGATCCACTTGCGGTCTCCGCGCGGCTCCTGCTCCTGCAGCGGGTGCGGCGGGTAGTGCTGCCATATGGCCAGCAGCCGGTCGTCGTCCACGTACAGCGTGCGGGAGAAGACCTGCGGGGGGGGGGACGTGTCAGCGGCACCGCCCCAACAGCCGCGACGGCCAGGCTGGCGGCGGGGGACTCGCTCACCCGGGGCGGGCGGGCGAGCTCGTCCACGTCAGGCTCGAGGCAGGACAGAGCGTGGCACTCCCCCAAGCGGGGCTCGGCAAACAAATCGGATCGCGATGCGCCGACTGCAGGCGAGACAGCGCTCCCGGAGGAGCCGCTCCACCGTCAGAGAATGCGCGCGACACGCGGCGCTCGGAGGCAGAGCGCCGAGAGCGCGCGGAACCACCACACTTCCGCACACGCAGCTCACGCGGGCGGCGTCACTGACGCGCCGCCAGGGCTCATACCTTGTCGGCCACCTCTATGCCGGCGTCGAGGAAGAGTGCGCCCATCAGCGCCTCGAAACAGTTGGCCATGGCGTGCCGGAGCTCGAGGTCGTGGCAAAGGTCGGAGCCGTGCGCGTACAGCAAGTACTCGTGCAGCCGCAGGTGGCGCGCCAGCACGGCCAGGTGCTGGTTCTGCACGATGGCTGCCCTGCGCCCGGGCAGAGGGGACGGGGTGGCGGTCAGGAACGCGCCGCGACGGCCGGCAACGGCTCAGTGGCGTCTGTGTGGCGAGGCACTCATACGGGACGTTTGTCGGCTGTGGAATCTGTAGGAAATCCGAGCGGAGCCCGCGGGACGTACGGATAGCCGAACAAGAACCACGGCTTCATGCTCACAGTTGATGGGCCTGAAATCACGTGTACGTCCTCAGCCATGCTGTCCGACGCTGCCACAGTCGGCATAGGTCTGCGCAATGTCACGTGGCTATAACGCGAATTCAAAACGCGTCCAATACATACAACGCTGGTTAGAGATCCACTGTACAGACCGTCCAGTCAACAGGGTACACAAGAGGCCCAGGCAGTGGAAACAGACCGCAAAGGTATGACCAACAGAGCACTAGTACATGAGGCGTCTGGCCGACGGGGCACAGGTCCACAGGCTGGTGGCGTGAAGAGGTCCGGTGAGACTCGCAAGCGATTGCCAAGACCGGATGGTCCGGATACAGTGGCACCGGGGGGTAGCCAGCACACAGCCTGGGACAGCGGAGCCGCCATCAGCTCAGGCGTGTCCGACGAAGGCGCATAAGCTTGGGACCGGACGTATTCTGAGCGCAAGGTTAATACAAAGTTAGCCAACAGTGGCAGGTGAACCCTTCGCGAACCGATTAGTGAAGCGGGCGAAGGGTTGGGCCCGACCAGCGGATGCGTGCGCTGCCTACGCATGAGCGAGCACACCCTCCGCCCCCGGCACACACCTGTAGGTGGCCAGACCGCCCTCCTCTAGGTTCGGAAACATAAAGAAGAGGTGGATGGAGGTGAGGAACTCGACAACGGCGTCGCCGAGGAACTCGAGCCGCTCGTTGTGGGTGATGCGACTCTCGGTAGCCTCCTTCTTGCCGAACTGCGACATGATGTTGATGAGGATGTTCAGACCTGGCGGGCACCACGCATTAGTTGGCAGGAGCTCGTTGATGAGGCACAACTTCGGCCCCGCCATTCCCATGACCTGAGAGCGGCCCCTCGTCGATGTGATTCGAAACCACTCTGCCACTGACCCAATCACTCCCATGACCTGAGAGCGGTCACTCGTCGATGCGATTCCAAACCACACCCGTGCGGCACAATTGTGGTGACAAGACTAAATGTTCTACCAATATAATTTTTTTGCGGCACTCGGAGGCTGGAACGCAACATTTCACTCCTATTACGGTCACTTTGGCTGCAATTCCTCAACCGAAACCACGTCAACCTCTCTGTCCGCACACACCGTCCCATAGCAGTGCTACGCGCCCATCCACACAAACCATTCTCAGCTACCCCCGCGCCCTTAAGCTCCCCCCCCCCCCCTCCCCCCACACCCGCCACCGGCGTGTACCGCGTTTGCGCGAGGCGGTGTAGTTGATGCAGCGGTCTCCGTATTCGGGCTGCCGGATGCCGCAGTTGGAGAGGGAGTTGCGCGAGTGGTCCGGGTTAGTGCCGTGGTTCTCCCTGCACGGCCCGTCAGACACGGCTCGTCAGAGAACACACAGGGCTTGCCGGCAGCCGTCACGGCGCATGCGCGGCCGGCGGCCGGCGAGAGCAACCAAAACGCTCATCATGGCTCATTTGAAAGATATGAAACAATCCTAACCTGCGAAAGACACATTGTCTCTGAATCTGCCTATTCTCTCTCAGACCGTCAGTTTCCTAGACGCCGATTCGCTGAACAGAGCGTGCCTCTATGCGTCTGACGAGCTGGTGCGACGGACTTCCGTTTGACCCACAGGTCGGTCAGGTCACCTGTAGCTGGGGTGTGTCAGCGCCAGCTGGAGCAGCCAGCGGTTTTTGAACCGGTAGTCGATGGTCTCCTCCAGCACGTCCAGCGACTTGTGGAATCGCAAGTGGCACACCAGCACCGGAAGGAACAGCGCGTGCTGAAACAGGGGGAGCGCGGCACGTGACGCGTCCAGCGACTGGTGCAGCCGCGGGCGGCACACCACAGCAGGAACGAACAGCACCCGCCGCACCAGCCGAGAGTACAAGCCCATCCCAGTTCACAGCCCAGTCCACACCATTATATTTTGCGCTGTTATGTCAAGGTGACGCAATCTTGTGGCATACGATACTACACTACACTCAGAGAGAATCAAACACGGATGAGAGCAGTACAGCACCTATCTTGTGACGTTAAAAAACACACACAAACACACACAAACACAAACGCGAACAACGCAGACAAAACGGCACTACGCGGCAGGCGTTTACGACACTATCCCACCGAGTCACCCACATTCAACTTAGTTATGAAGGTTCAAGATAAGCTGCGAAGAACGGTTAACCCCAAGCCGATTACTAACTCTAGCATGCTTTTGATCCCACCCGTCCGCAGGAACGGACACATACAATTCCGGCGGCGAGGAGTCATCGATCTTCACCATGGCAGTAGGACGACTAGTACAACAAATCCGCGACCAGCCGTCAGACCGGCCGCCCAGCACTCTGTTAGTTCCACCCACAGCTCTCACCAGTTTCCGCCGAGAGTCCCACCTCCCGCCACTACTGTGCCCACCTGCACCACGTCCGCCATGAGGCCGGTCTTGCGGAATCCCTGGCTCGACACGGACACGGTGACGTCCCGCTTCAGCTTCGCCTGCAGCCGCAAGTTCTGCAGCTGCGACTCCTTGGCCATCAGCTTGCGCTTGTCCTCCATCGACGGCTTGGGCAGGTTGGCCAGCAGGTGGCGGTACTTGACGTACTCGCGCCACGCTTTCTGATATCTGGCGGGGGCGGGGAGCGTCAGCATGGGGAGAGGAGCGGGAGGGCTCATCAGCGGGGCGGACTCGTTCCGAGACGAACAGTGAGACTGAACAGAACAGAGAATGGTCCATTCACCCCGGCTGGCGCGCACACACAAGCACGCACGCACGCACGCACGCACGCACGCCTCCACTTCACGGCTAGATGCTGCGTCCCATGCGCTGCCCAGATGCGACCATTTCACTGGACAACAGCAGAGCACGCCATTAGTATACAAGCAAGGCTTGGCTGGCGCGGCGTACCATTGGTTGACGTGTCCGTGGGGCACCTTCACCTCATCACCACCGACCGGTCGTCCCAAGGCCGAGCACCGCAGCAGCCGCTCTGCCGCAGCGCTGTGACGCGATATACAACAGCCGCTCTGCCGCAGCACTGTGACGCGATATACAACAGCCGCTCTGCCGCGGCGCTGTGACGCGATATACAGCTGCGCCCGCGGAACGTGTCCCGTCCCGCCAGTCGCCACGACTGCCACCTGCCGACTGGCCGAGTCGGGAACTGCGGACCAGCTGACTGGCCGAGTCGGGGACTGCGGACCGACTGACTGGCCGAGTCGGGGACTGCAGACCGACTGACTGGCCGAGTCGAGGACTGCAGACCGACTGACTGGCCAAGTCGGGGACTGCAGGCCAGCTGACTGGCCGAATCGGGGACTGCAGACCAGCTGACTGGCCGAGTCGGGGACTGCAGGCCGACTGACTGGCCGAGTCGAGGACTGCAGACCGACTGACTGGCCGAGTCGGGGACTGCAGACCGACTGACTGGCTGAGTCGAGGACTGCAGACCGACTGACTGGCCGAGTCGGGGACTGCAGACCGACTGACTGCAGACCGACTGACTGGCCGAGTCGGGGACTGCGGACCAGCTGACTGGCTGAGTCGGGGACTGCGGACCGACTGACTGACCGAGTCGGGACTGCGGACCGACTGACTGGCCGAGTCGAGGACTGCAGACCGACTGACTAGCCGAGTCGGGGACTGCAGACCAGCTGACTGGCTGAGCTGACTGGCTGAGCTGACTGGCCGAGTCGGGGACCGCGCGACTGACCCTGGGTTGCCGAGTCGGCGACTGCGGGACTGACTCTGGGTTGCCGGCGTAGCTGAGCTGCGGGGGCCGGATGCCGAAGTGCACGATCTCCGGGTGGTGCAGCTCGCCCTCGGCCGGCTGCTCGCCGCCGGGCAGCACCTCGCGGTCCAGCTGGTCCAGCCGGATGCAGCTCGGCTTGCGGCCCGGGTGCGTCACCAGCATCCCTGCCGCAGAGCGCCGGGAGACGTCAGTCGGGAGGGCGGCCGCGGCCCCGCGCACTGTCCCTTGGCCACTGCTCGAGTCAGAACCTGACCCCCCGACCCACCGGGGCCTGATGTCCAGTTAGAGGTCAGCTCACGCCTCTCACCTGAGTCGGCTAGTGTATCCTGACATCTGACTAGGTTGCAGCTTGTTCCCTTGCTCCTCGCCGTTTCATGCGGCTTCCTCCCTCCCGGGTCATACCCTGACCCACCCGACCCCCACGGGTCATTCCCTGTCCCCTGCCCCTCCCCAAGGCAAACGCTGTTCCGGCGGCCGGCCGTACCTCGGACCTTGTCGGCGCGCGCCTGCCACTCCCACAGCGGCAGCGCTGCCACGGCCGCCAGCTCGTCGTCGGCCACCAGGGGGCCGTCGCTCCGCAGCAGGTACGCCAGCACCTCGTTCAGCGACAAAATCTCCTTGCCGTTGTCTGCAGCGAGGCCCCCGACAGTGGTGAGCCGCGGCTCGCCGGATAAGCGGGCGCGCCGGGCGGGCGCCGGCACGACAGCGTTGAACGTGCCGCACGCTGGCAGCGATCATTCCTAACCGGCTGACTTGTTACGATAATGGCGATCGTGTAGCTGAGCCCTGATCATCATCAGTCGCCACTCAAGCATCGCACATGAATTTTTACATGATCCAAAAGCGCGCTTGCTCTCCCAATGAAGGTCCTGCTCTCGACACTAGGCGGTTCACCAGGCAGCTCTTCAACAGCAGACGGCAGCTCTAGTCTGGCCCGGTCCGGTCCACGCAACGAGTCACGAGCGGCAGAGATAATCGGATATCCCGTCCCGGCCCCGTCCACTACCCATCTCTCTCACCGGCGATGTCGCGAACGAATCTGGGGAACAGGTGGAACACAGGGCAGCCCTGCTTGTCGGCGTCAGCGTGCGGGAACAGGTCCAGGTCGACCATCTCCAGCAGACTGTCGTACAGGAAACTCTCTGGGGGAGACACACGGCGGCACTCGTGACGCAGCACCAGGTCAAGACATGCCGCGTGCTCGGTAGCCGCGGAGAGACGCGCCATTGACAACTGTAGCCCACAACGGGGAGGCGCCGATGGCGTGCAAACATCCCTGCTGTTGATGTATATTTGTAAGGAGGTAATGCCGGTGTAAATCGAAACTAAAACCTGGACATGTCGGCTGGAAAAAATGTGGGCAGGTCAGGACGCGCGAATGGTTATTTAGTTGAGGTCATTCCGTCTGAGAATATTTAGCATCACGTGAGCCGCTCCAAGCCAGCCAAACTGCGCACAAGACAGAACAGCCGTACACACAAAACCACTCGTGATACCGGCCGCACACTCACTGAAAAGCTCCACCTCCTCCAGCACAAAGTTGTCGGGCAGCTTCTCCTCGATGTACAGCACCGTGTACTCGATGTTGAAGCGGATGATGTGGCAGGGCGGCAGCTCGGTCAGCCGGTAGTGCGACAGCAGCGAGAGGCCCTCGAAGATGAACTCGTGCCCGTCGTGCTGGATGCTGGTCGGGCTGCTGACCTGGCGGACAGGTGGCACCCCGCGGTCAGCGGCGGCGTCGGCAGCGGCGCCGCTCCCCGCCCGGCCGAGGCACCTCCACGACGGCGGCCCGCCGGCGCCCTCGTAATAGAACCTGCTCACCGCTTCCACGCCGTCCCCGCTGATGACGCGGATGTCACCAAACGCGGCTTGGGCGGGAGACAATGGCTTTGACGACGACACCGGTTATTTAGAAGGCATCATTTTGAGCAGCTCGTGTGGAAGACATGTGATTTTTTGCTTCGTGCGTGGCGTGTGGCTTTGCTGTCTAACTCTGCAGACTTTGTGTTGTGGAACACTATGGGAAACTACTCACGCTAGAATCAAGGCAGGAGCTCCGATTGTCCACACCATTATTGTGTGGGTGGTCTCATACATACGGCGAGGTAACGGGTCCGGCTCGGCTCCGTTCCGGCTGTTCACATTCCCGGCTTAACACTGGTGTCCTCACGACGACACACAGTTACCGAGTGGAGCACAACCCAGGTACGCTCCTTAGGCTGAAGCCAATGCAAACCCCGGAGTCAGATTCGTGCGCCATCTGGGCCTGCAGATCACCACCGTGCAGCGCGACCTGGCGCTGGTGCCGGCGCCGGGGCAGTCCGCCCCTCCTGCGCTCCCTCCAGCGCCCACTGACCAGGAAGTTGGTCGGGGGACAGATGAGCACGCGGTAGTGAAAGAGGCGGTCGGCGTTGTTGGTCCAGGGGTCGCAGCGCGGCACCGCCTCCTCGCCGGCGTAGATGTTGTGTCGGATGCCGGCCTGGCGCGACTTGATGCTGCACCGGCACACGTCACCCACGTTCATCTGCCGGCGACGACCCGGACGTGAGCCAAGGCAGCCGGTCGCTCTCACGGCGGCGGCCTATGGCTGCGCGTCAGTTCGTCATACGTGTCCTTCTCGTGACGGCATCGTGCACCACTCAAACCGTTCATCTGTCGTGTGAAATGGTCAACAGATGCCTCCACCCCACGGCGGCTCCGGGGATCCGACTCATCCGTGTTGGCACCCGCTACAGCGCGCGTCACCAGCACCATCTTTGGGAGGCTCCAGTTCCGTCGCACGAGCCGCTGCCTTGGTAGCTGAGAGCGGTACCTTTCCGGGGTCGTTGTACCAGAGCTCCGGGTGCAGGCGGTACGGGTGTCGGCTCTTGCGCTCGAGCTCCTCATTCAGCAGCACCGTCTCGTCCTCGCTCTCCGAGTCGCTGGACGTCTCGTCGCTCTCGCTGCCACCTGGCGAAGAGAGCATTCAACCATCACATGTAACCAGCACCGTCTCGTCCTCGCTCTCCCGAGTCGCTGGACGTCTCGTCGCTCTCGCTGCCACCTGGCGAAGAGAGCATTCAACCATCACATGTAACCAGCACCGTCTCGTCTTCGCTCTCCGAGTCGCTGGACGTCTCGTCGCTCTCGCTGCCACCTGGCGAAGAGAGCATCCATCTGTCACATGTAACCAGCTTAACTTCCTGAAACCAGACAACAACTAACCAGATTATGTTAAATAATTTAAAAGAGTCCAGCCGAAATTTTGAGCACGCGATCAAACAAAATACATCGTCATGCAGTCTAACCATATCCCCCGAACATAATGAGCCGGTAGCTGGCCGAAACAATCACCACACAGCCAGAGGGCGGAGCGGCCGCGCGGTGACGCGAGTCTGGCTGAACGCGCGCGGCCGTTTGCCGACGTACCGCAGTTGTGCAGGCGACAGCGGCTGCCGGGCGGCGTGAGGGCGACCGGCGGTAGTTCGGCGCGCGCCCGCGCCGCCCGCTCCGCCAGTTCGGTGCGGAAGCGGCCGCACTGGGCGCGCGTGCGCTCCGTGGCCACCATGACGTGCGTGTCCCTGGCGGCGCGACAGCATGGTGACAGTGGACGCAAGCAGGAGTGGGGGCGTCGGAGAGATGAGTCCGGGCACCGTAAGAGGAGAAAGCATCCTTACGTTCAGATAGCTGCAACCACATTGCGAAGCAGCCCCAAAAGAGGCTTGCGAGCCGCCCACACCAGCCTCAGGCACCGGGGAAGTACAGCGCGAGTTAGCACACATACATGACAACCCCGCCTCATAAACAAGCTCAGAACACGGGATCGCCGGACAATCACAGAGAGACGCCATCGACGGTCACGGCCCGCGCCCCGTGACCGGTGCACAGACGACTGCTGCGGTCTCGGGCGGGCGGTGGCTCACTGGGGGTGGCGCTGGTAGTACGGGTCGGCCGGCGATGAGCGCGTCCAGATCTTCTTCTCGTCGTCCAGCGCCAGCCGGATCATCTCGCGCTTCTCGCGCAGCTGCCGCTCCTCCTCTTCGAACCGCCTGTGGCAGACGGAGCGCCGCATGGTTAGCGCTGCCGGCCACGGGTGACGCCGCGGCGCCCAGAACACGCGCACAGATACGGACAGTGCGCTAACTCTGCCAGAACACTGTCAGCCATCATGTATGTCAGCATACTGTGAGCCGGTATTTCTCCACATGACGTGCCCCATAACACATACGTTGATATATATATATATATATATATATATATATATATATATATATATATATATATATATATATACGTTAATGAACGCTATGAAAACAGCTGAGTCATCATTCCCATGCTCTTTCTGAAGTCGTAGGCCCATAGATAGTCAGTAGCCGCCACTATATTCCCTGCCCCATCCGAGGCTCACGCCTTGCCCAGCCCGCCTCGCACTGCCCCGACGCTAGCTGGCGGGCAAGGTTGCTCACTTGTCCCGCTCCGATATGGCCGAGTCGGACACCAGATCTGCAGCCGTCAGCTCCCGGCTGGCCGGGTCCGGGCCGGCTCGGGGCCGCACCCGGCGCACCTGCTCCCGGCGCCGCCCGGCCGACGCCTCCTCGCGCCGCGCACGTGTCCTCTCACCGCCGCCGTCCTCTTCTCGTCGCGCCCGCGTCCTCTCACCGCCGCCGTCCTCATCTCGTCGTGCCCGCGTCCTCTCACTGTCGCCGTCCTCGCGCCGCGCGCGCGTCCTCTCACCGCCGCCATCCTCGTCAGGCCGATGCCGTTTCCGCTCGCCCTCGCGCTCGCGGCGCCGGTCCTCGCGTCGGCGCCGGTCCTCGTCCTCGGCGCGCCGTGGCCGACTGTCCTCACGCGCACGGCGGGCCTCGTCCCGAAGCCGAGCGTCCTCACGGGACCGGCTACCCTCGCGCGAGTGACTGCCTTCGCGGGACCGGCTGCTCTCGCGGGAACGGCTGCTCCCGGGCGTCCAGTTGTCCTCGCGCGGATAACGCGAGCCCTCGCGCCGAGCATCGCGCTCCGCCGGCTTGCGACGCTCGTCACGGCGGTAATCCCGATCAGCTTCGCCGGCGCCCCGCTGCGGGGGGCGCCGCTCGCGCGCGCCCTCACCCGGCGCCCTGCCCCCAGGCCCGTTCGCCGGCGGCCAGTCGGGGCGCGGCTCCCTGGTCGGCTCCCGTGCGCCCTCCGGCGGCCGCCAGGCGCGGCCCGGGTCGGCCGGCGGGTCCCAGCCGCGCAAGCTCGGCGGGCCGGCGGGCCAGCCGGCGCCCGGTCGCGGCGGCGGCGGCGGCAGCCCCGAGAACGGCGGCCCACACCCAGCGCCCGGCGGCGGAGGGCCACAGGGCGGCGGGCCCGGCGGCGGATGGCTGCCCGGTCCCGCGCCGCCCCCGTACGGGTAGAAGCTGGGCGGCGGTGGCGGCGGGCCTGGGTACGGTCCACGCTGGCAGTGGGGCGGGGGCCCCGGAGGCGGGCCGCCACCGTAGGCTGGTGGTGGCGGGCCCGGATATGGTCCTGGCTGTCTCCAGTTACTCATATAGTTCTGGCGTGGGTACATGGTTGTTTTCAGTGGCTATGGCCTGCCAAAAACACAGACATCATTGTTAATCAGAGCCAAGTGTTCAGAGTTGTAGCAATTCACATATTTTTTAGGGGGATTTTGTAAATGTGGGAATATCAGAAGCAGTATATATTTGATTGCTTCCCAAAATAACTTCAGGAATATTTTTCACATGCAACACCTGGCTTTGATCTAAGTATCAATTATGCTTGCACATTCTTCAGCACTAAGGAGGCAGAGCTGAAATAGGGTCAGACAGCAAATTTAGCAACAATGGTTCTCCAGTGCAAAACTTTGTTAGCCATACAAAAATATATATTCATTAAGGTGGCCTTTTAACTGCAGGTACTACATAACTACCATAGTATCAGCAAAACACATATAAGGTAGGTTTCACCATTCACAGCACTGTAATGCTACAAAATCAATACACCACTTCTATGGGTTCAGTAAAGACACACCAAAGCATGAAGCCTGTCCCAGCAATAGGCATGAAACAGCAGGTTCCTCGGGAGACCCACTGTATCAGCACAGTGATGTGCAAGACTGTCATGGCCCATGTTCTAGACATCAGCTGGTAAAAACTCATCACTGTTTGGATTCAGGTGCCAGTAGCTTTACCACTACATCAACTAGGAATTGTAAGTTTCAAACAGATATTATGAAAAACTACATTCCAGGGGTCAAGTCCAAGAAAATGATTTAGAACTCATAATTTATCCTGCAATACGAATACATTGTGCAGCTTTGGGCACAAAATAGTAGATGCATGTCACAACAATGGCCTATGACCAGCATGCCAACATGGCTTTCATGCACCTTCAGCAGGCACACCGCCTGCTTAAAACTGCACACCCTGTCTCCTGCTTAAAACTGCACACCCGGTCTCACTTGGGATGGACTCCATGTTTAGAAGCATTTCCAGATATAGTTTTTGAGCAGTCAGTAAATGATAAGTATAGTAGGATGATAGGTAACACTGACTCTAACCAGATAAAACCCACATTCCAAGACCATACCAAAAACCAAAACCATACCAAAACCACACAAAAATCCCAAGATGGTATGCACATCATGTGGCACATGCTGGTTGATAGCACAGTTTCCATGGCATCATTATGCTTTAACCAGCAACAACAAGCTATGAAGGGTGGTGCTGCACATGCAAGTGCAGTATGGGACGCCAATATTGATCACCCACAAAATTTTTGTGGAGGATTTGGGGAAAAACAGCATTGCCTGACAAGCAGAATACTATATCAACAGGAGGCATTTTGTTATGCCTCATTAGACAATGTAGATATCAGCTGATAATTTACGTGATGTTAAAAAACACAGAAAACAAGAAAAAAGCTATTTGAACCTTTTGGAGCAAATGGCACGAAATAGCGAGCAGGGCATTACACACATGGAATGTTTCAGCATTATTCCAGCGTAGAAGGCAACCAGGAGGCGCAAACTGCGATCATAACTGACAGTTTTAAGGAAATGTATCGACACACAATTATCTCCATAGCCCGCAATGCCACGGGAACTGCACGCCGTTAAGAACTCACCCACTCGGCTTTACCGAGGCTGCCTGAGTGGGATTTACGGAGATGACCACCATCGTTCTGAAAACAAGCGTCATTACAATATGAAACTTCTGCGCTATAATGACTAACAGTAAAGCACGACTAATTTCCTTGTGCCATCAATGGAACTGGGTGACGCATGAACATAACAGATGTAATCATGCAAGTGTGTGCAAAAGTGTATTCACAACAACCCGGATAACGATGATCCCATGCCGTCTAGGTCATTTAAGACGTCTACCGCAAAGGTTCTGCGCCTTTGGCAGCACAGGTGTAGGAACATTTGAAACAGTGCGGAGAAAGTGGACAGGATGCTCTGATATCCTGCGTTGTTCAAGAGTTTTGTATAAAAGACCGGAGGCACCGATAGCGAGTGTATGTCGATTTTCAGATAATAGAAGTAGACCAGGAAAACGACAGTCAGTTTAGAGTAATGTGTGGTACGGAACGCTGGCTGGCGCTTTAGAGCTGCCTCCTTTCTGGTTGTTCATGTGGCGTAGGATGTTTTCATACAGTGCGGCCTCGTCCTGAAACCACCTGCCGCCGGCCATTATGACATCCTGGAGCCGTACTGCGCTGGTATCTCAACTTGACTAATGTGAAGAAGAGTGTTTTATTTTGCCTTAAAGGTCTTTCTCAAGGTATTCACGTCTTCCACCGCCGCATCCTCGTTTGTATCGCGTAACTTGTAACCTATTGACTCAGTCAAACATTAAGCCATACATATGGAACGATTCGTACAAAATAGGTGGCATGGCATGAGGGCCTAAGGCTCTTATCGATGGCCATCTGATAGCCTGCTTGTGTACGTTTCAACTTTGGGGCGCCTCCACACTGGGTTTAAGGTACTCCTTATTTGAACGTAGAGCCCTACGTTCTTGTCGGGGGCCGCATCTGATGCCTGTTCGAGCACGCTCGATCGCTTGGGGTCACTCAACGTTGGGTTCTGGGCACTTTCTATTTGAATGAAGAGCCCTACGCCATTGTTGGGGGCCCTATCTGTTAACCTGCTCTGGCCCACTCGATTGTTCGGGGGCTCTCCACATTGTGTTGGGAGAATTTCTTATTTGAGTTGCCCTATGCTCTTGTAAAGAGCCCTATCTGTACGCCTTCTCAGGCACCATGAATTGTTCGGGGCCCAGCATATTGGATATTGGCATCTGAATATAGGGCCCCACGCTCCTGTTGGGGGTCATATGATAGCCCACTCGGTTACACTCGAACTTCAGGGGGGGGGGCCTCCACAATGGGGGCGCGTTCGGTCCAGGGAAAATCACTCAACAAATAATTACCTCTCCGATAATCATCTCCGAAGATTCTCTCTTTACACTCGGCCGGTCCGAAAATTATTCCCCAGGCTAGTCTCCCGTGCGTTAGTCTCTGAACATTCTCCGGGATCCTCCCTCGCTACGGAAAGTTGTCTATGATAATTTTCCGTGCCAGCAGTGCTGAACGCAGTTCCGGAAAATTTTCTAACATTTCTCATAATTTGCCGAGATTATCTGCCGGCCGAAAACACCATTGGTCTTGGGTACTTCTAACTTGAATGGAGAGTTCTACGATATTTTCGGGGCCCCTTCTGATAAACTGCTCAGATACGCTCGATCGCTCGGGGGCCATCTTTACTGGGTCTTGGGAATTTCCTATTTCAATGGAGGGTCCCACACTCTTGCCGGGATCCTGATCTGTTTATCTGCTCGGGTGCACTCGATCGTTTGAGGGCCCAACACATTGTGCCGTTGGTATTTATTGTTGAAATGGAGGGCTCATGCTCTTGTAGGGGCCCCATTCGTTCACCTTCTTGGATGCACTTGTCGGAAAGGGTTGTGATGGGGGGATATTTTGAGGCCCACTGCACTGCCCAGAGGCGTTACGCTGCTGTCGGGGCCCTATATCTCCACTTGCTCGGTCAATCTGATCGCTAAGTAGCCTTCCACGTTGTCCTTGATGTCTTTGAATTTTTCTTCCAGGACCCTATGCTGCCGTTGAGGTACTACGTGCTAACATGCCTGGGCACTCTTGATCGATCAGCGGCCCTCCACCGATTCTTCCCATCCGCTTAAAAGGCTCTATACGCTTTTGTTGGGGCCCCATATGCCGGGGTACACTCATTTAATCAGGGCCCTTCATACCAGACTAAGGTTCTTTCAACTTGCTTGGAGTGGCATTTATTCACGCACACTGGTCTCGGGTGTGCACCCGCACAATGGCCCCTTTGCTCAAAGGGCCATATGCTCTAGCTGAGGTCCTTTATGTCAGCCTGCTGGGGCACTCTCGTTCAGGAGCCTATCACGTTGGTTTGGGTTCTTGGGTTCAAGTTATCCCACATCCACTTTGGCGCTACCACCACCACACCGACCTTATCGATAGACCGAAAGAATTTACAATTGAGTCGCCACTCATTGCGTCACCAAGCGTCACAGAGCTGCAGACTAATAAGTTCTAAGCCTTGACTGCAGGCTCATAAATATTACCATGTTTTGGATAGCAGACCACCGGGTGACTAACCAAATGTTAACGTTGATTAGTTAGCGTACTCCCTTCAACCGACACACGTGCGATTTTTCAGTTGTCGGTGCATTCGCTGTTGGCGACTGTTTCGTTCTACGCCCCACGTCTATAACTAACGTATTCAGAAAAGGGTCGGTTGGAAGGCGATACGGTGATATCGCTGCTGCCACCTTGGCATAACATTCCACCATCACAAATCAGAAGTCACAATCGCTTCAGCTGTTCAGCAAGTCTTGGGCAGTGCCGCGAACGAGAGGAGAGGCAGGCGGCAAACAGTCGGGGGCCAGTCGTTTGTACACGATGGTCGAGCCCAACTGTTTAGTCTGCCGTCTCGTCGTGCAGGTGGTGACGAAATCGGCCCACTCCGCTGTGCAAGCCCTAGCAGACGGGAGCCGGCGGTCGTCGACCATGCAGACGTTGGCTGAGTCTGCTCCGACCGTAGCCCGCCACAGCATAGACCCCACACAGGTTTGTAAACATGCGCCAGCTGCGGCCGGCTGGAAATCCGGAAATGCCTCCAAGTCATCTGCGCGGCGGACTGAGTGGAGTGCAGTGATGGTCACAAACGTAGTCAACATTGCATTGGTCACGACGGATATAGAAATTAGAGGAGGAATTGGGGGGGGGGGGGGAGGGGAGTCACCGTCAGGCCGCCCGAGCGGTGGTGATTGTGAGACGTTTATAACGCTTCGGATTGCCAGAGAAGCTCACAGAACGCCACGGCATCATCTTGGGCTTTCCAGCAGTCTCACAGGCCACCGTCACATGCGGCCGAGAAGACCGAGGGCGCGGAGACAAGCAGCCCGATGTCTGTTTCCTGCGCAGTCTAGAAACTTCCCTGCGCCCGAGACAACCCGGTGCCGCCGGACTTTAGCAGCGTTAAATGAACTCAGGCCGAACCAGTATGGCAGGAACGCTACGACTTCGCGACACATTGCGACAATCAGTTACCGCACGACTGATGAAGGCTAAGAGAATGCAGTTAAGAGAATACTCGACAGAACATTCTAAACCACAAGTTAAATCCGAAATCAGTTATAGCTGTAAGTCATAGTTATAAGTCAAAATGTTATTAGTGGGCATGTGGAGTTGAAGATAATTTGAGTATATATATATATATATATATATATATATATATATATATATATATATATGTATATATACATATATATGTATATATGTGCGTGTGTGTGTGCGTATGTGTATGTATAGATAGTTAAATTTGCTACGATTCATGATGTCACGAGGCAATCTCGGCGTGATAAGGCCGACCGCGCCCACCCGCAGCGCTGGACTAGTTTTGTCACCGCGGCGGCGAGGTCTGTGGCGGCTCGGCGGGCGGCCGAGCGGTGCAGCCTGCTGATCTCTGACGCGTCCTCGAGCGGCAGCCAGCGACGGCCTGCGCGGTCTGGGCCAGGATGTGGCCGGCTGCGCGGTCGCTTGTTTGTGCTCAGGCCGCCCGACGGCCGATAGCCGTCCGTTTATTTGGACTGTCGGGCCGCGGCGGCGGCGACTGGACGGCGCGGCGGGCGGCCCCAGTACAGTGCGCGGCGGGCGCGAACCATGAGGGCGAGGCTGCAACCGACGCTGCTGGTGCTGGCGCTGACGCTGCTGGCCCCGCGCTCGGCCAGCGGCCAGCGCTGCCAGCGCGAGCCGCCCGACCGTAACACGGCCAAGTCGGCCGGCGGCGGCGGCTTCCGCGTCAAGATCAGCGGCAACCCCGACACCTACACGCCCGGCAACATCTACACCGGTGAGTGTCGCCGCCGGGGAGCGACGTCTCGCTGACCGGCGTCGGGCTTGGCGGACACGCCAGCTCTGAGGCCATCGCACGCTGCCGCTCACCGGCTGGTGGTGGGCGCGTCTGACACCTTACTATCCCCGTCCAGCGCAGTCGCCCGCCGCCGGAGCTGAGCATCAGGCGAGTAAAATGGGCCTAAACGTGGACCGACACCAGCGAAACATGCTCTTGGTCTGGTCGCCCAAAAACCGCCACGATAAGAAGCCGCAGCCGCTGTTCGTCTGTGGTCTCTCTGGCGCCATCCGCCCCGTCCCCTCCCCCTCTCCCACCGCGGTGGTTTTTATTTCGTTCGTTATCGACGCGCGGTAGTAAGAGTGTTCCAGAGTAGCACCTTTTGGAAGAGTGTAGGTGCTCAGGACTGGTGTGGTTCTTTGGATCAAGGCATTCATGATTATCAAAGTGCACACCAAGTGCTTGACAATGCGTAGTTTTCGGTCATTTCGCCCACAGAGAGGAGTTATAAAAATGGACATCAGAATCGGGTTGGACGCTCGAACAAAGCCTTTGGCGCTTTCTTGCCATGACGATTCTGCGTTTTGATCATCTCGTCGAGCAGGTGTGTTATTTGACCAAAGGGATTCGGAATTAGGGGGAGGGGAGGCGGCAATGCTTTAAGCGTAAATGTTTGAAAATCCGTTTAGATGGGTGTCAAACAAACCCTTGCAGCGAAAGTGGCCCAATGGCGAGTATACAAATGTGATGAAAGTGTATTTGACCTCTCACCCGATGTGACCTCACCTCATCCTCGGTTTGACCTCGACCAAAAGGAACGAAAGTGCCAAGCCACGAGAAATGCAATTTTATATACCAGACAGACCTTTACGTCACATCATTAGTTCATCAACTGAGAATTATATGAACACACAATGCACGTCGTTAGACGTCGAGATAGTTCCGGTACACACCTATTGAAAGTGCTGATTTTCTTCCCGCGTGCTTCCTGCTCCAGCAGAAGCCACTACAGCTGATCCCTTTCGCCGTCTACAGCGCCTGTGAAAGTCTTAATCACTGACACATCCTTCTCTGCAACATCATTACGAAATTTTGCACACCACTCAAAATCAATTAAGAAGGGATAGGCGTCTTTGACTCACCATTGCTGGGCTGGATTGCTTAGCCACCGGCTTGCATCACCCTGAAGGAGCTGGAATATCAGCCAAGCACTTATCTCCCAGATATGACAATTTACTGTCTTCTCATTTTTGCTGGACGCCACCTGAAACCACACGAAACAAGACCTTTTGAGGTCTCCAACAGACCGCGTGGCCTCACGTGACTGCCAACGCTGCTCCGACCATGGGCTTGTTCGCTGTCCAGAAGTGCACAGCTTCTGGATTCCGCTGGAGGCGTCAGCAGACAGGTACCCGCGTGACAGTCCGCACCGGTGTCCGCTGACCACCCTATAACTTATGAATGCTCTGAAGCCGTGCCAGAACTGCTGCATTATCGGAAAGCTGATGAAGCGGACAGTTGACAAACTCGTGGTCACTGCAGCGTTGGCCGTGATGCATCTCCATTTGAAGCCCGTGGCGGCCGAAGTCGGTCTGGTTTCGGGTAACGCAACGGTAATGAAAACGCAGCAATGACGTTCACGCTGTCGCCTCTGCTGGTTGCGAGTGATTTTAAAGCAGCTGCACCATTTGTTAACTCGGGGCAGGCATTGTTGGAATTGGTAGATGAGTTGTCGCATCTGGTTCTGCCACTCATTCCGACCGGTACCAGCCGGCGGCTAAGTAAGCCAGCCACTGAATGGGTAGCCAGCAGCGCAGGTGTGCAAACGTTACAAACAACTCACCGCAGGGAATTGTGACAATCGTTGAGATCCTTGCGCGCCCTGGCAGGCCGGTGGCAGGGATCAGTCGCAGTGACTTCTGCAAGAGGTAAAATCCCACTCGTAGAAGATCAGCGCTTTTAATCAGCGTACTCCGGGCGCACTTCGATGTGTTACAACAGACAGATGTGTCATGTGCGTTTCTTACAGTTATTTGACGTGGAAACAATGTAACGTGCCAGTGTGTTTCGTACGCAGAACTTTACTTCTCACAGCTCAATATTTCTTGTCTACTGGTCGAGCTCGAACAGAGAACGGAAAGGTCATGGTAAGGTCAGATGGTGTGGAAAGGGACTTCATGAACTCACGTCGCAGTTACATACACGCACCATCTAGTCACTTTGGTCTCGAGGATTCGTTTCATGCCCATTTCGACGATGTTTCAGACCTTTTCGTTTTCAAGCATTTGTGCTCCTTCCCCAGTCTCATTTCCTTCCATTTTGCTCAACTGACCCACCAGGTAGATGCGTTGACTGAATATGGGATATGCATGTAAGAGAGCGCCAACGGTTTTGTTTCAAGCGCTCAAGTTGATGTCTACGTTTATTTTTACAACGTCGCACTGGCCCACTCAGAACGACATAGCTTGAAACTACCGACGTTTATGCTTTTTGCACACCCCCAAAGCATGCATAAATTTTGACAAGAAGTACACCACTGAACTCAACTTAAACCGGAAAACTAGACGAGCCCTAAACACCCATACGTTTCCAAAAAGTGATATTCTGGGGCAGCCTGCTGTAGTAGACGTCTGAGCTCACTGCCGGCTTACAACATCTGGTGGAAACCGTACCAGTGTTAGTTTGCTGCCCTTTCATTAGCATAACAGCGCCGTGGACCATTTAGCTGTCGGTACCTCACCCCAAACACCCATGTAGTTATACTACCAGTGTCGAAACTAAACGGCGTGGGGCACTGATCCCTCTTTTTTTAAAGAATTCTTGTAAAGCGTGGTGGCGAGCAGGTACATCATTTTGTAAACTAATATGGGGAGGGGTGGGGGAAAGGGTGGCGGAGATGAGGGCTTGAAAGCTCATCACCTATCTATTTTTCAACTCATTTGATCTATTTTATAGTGATTGACATCAATTTTAAGCTTTCTTTGTTGTGTTATGCTCCTTGGCCTGATGTCTATTGCTGTCATTATTTTTCAAAAATACTGCCATTTCCGTTGCTAAAATGGGCACTTAGCGTTCGGAGAAATCAGTTTTGGAGGCATCAATATAAACTTATCGGACTCCGTGGTTCTTCCCAAAAGACAGCATATTGTCACGCTTGCTACAGATGCTTAGTTCTGGGCGTTCCGGCCTTGATTCTGGACTGTCTAAATACCTAAACAACACCTGACCACCCTATCAGCCCGTGCAGGAAAGTGGTCTTAAGTGGCAAGTACCTGATAGCTGGTAGGTAGCGATATCAAAGCTGGTGGGAGAAAGCACACTGAGTTATGCAATCTTGGCCGCATACTGTAGCACCCTCATTTTACGCATTGTGTGATCCTACGACAAACTCATGCTGACAGAAAACTGAAATGTGTGGATTCGGTAGGTCCGACTGCAACTTGCAACATACCGGCGGCCGTTGGATTGGTGCGCACAGTAGGCGCGGGAAGAGGAGGGAGGGAGGGGGGGGGGGGGTGCAGGAGGGTGGACTCGACAATGGCTGGGGGCGGTTCCCTATCACCCTAACTCAAATGGGGACAATGAGGCTTTGCCACGGTAATGCCAAGAAATTAGTAAATTGGTTCGGACTCTGTGCTCAGTGTTTTCCAACAATCAAGAACGCTCTGTCATCTTAAGACGTTTACAGTCCACCATTTCCAAAAAACGTCAAATGCTGCAAGCACTGTACTCGATACTTTTGCTTGTCGAATGCCTACACCTTGCATTAGGCTGCAGAATACCATGCCATGTATCACATTTCTGTCCTGCCGACAAAATGACGGAAACTACATAATAATCGTGACATTATTTTATCGTCGCGCGATCGCTTCGCCTTAGACTCGATGTCATAACAACGCGAGGCCGTAAAGCAAGTTAAATGGTATCAACATGAAACGCCTTGGGCTCTCAGCTCTCCGGCATTGTGGGTAATGGTCTTTTACGTTGAACAATGCAATAATGTAATGATCTGAACCGTTCAGCTGTGACTTCGGGTAGGAACTGTCACCTGACACCAGGCTTTCATATAACTGAATGTAGGTGTACAAATACTTGCTCAATATCGTTGTTCAAACGGAAGGCGACCACTGGTATACTGTAAGCCGATTATTTCAAGCATAAGAGCCGTTCACAATGACAAAACGATTTAGGTCACGGAGATGACAAGAAAACCAGGACATCCAGTGATGTCACTTTGCTCAGAATTTCCTGACATATAACGGACCAGCTATGGTCTGATCTGACGGAATTTGACTGCCTGTAATAAAATCCAAGGCGATTTCATCTCGCGGCAAAACTTGGAGGTAGATGCTCGGTGTGAATCTACCATCGGATCTTGGGTGGGTCCCAAGTATGATATCGGGCAAGCTTTGAAATTGAATGCCAACTGCACTAAAACTGTGCGAAAATGACACAAATGCAGCTGGCTTTCACCGTGAGCTAGATCAAAGAGATCGTGCCCATGCTATTGAAATAAGGTCGAAACAGAGATTAATACCGATGTTTCGCTTTGTAGCTTCTTTTCAGAACTAGATAGCAAAAAGCAGAGCGCCATAGGACGTTTTCGAAAAAGATGTGCACGGTGCAAATTTGTCGCGCATCCGAAGACATTTATAACATTCAGCCTCATGTGTGGCGAAAAGGTTTTGGGGAGCAGGTCTTCGTTTTTTTTTGTTGTTTTTTTGTTTTTTGTCTTTAGTATGTGACTTCTGAATGGCCTACTTTCAAATGAGACAACATGCCCCATTCGGAGGTAAATGATATCACATGCTGGGGAAAGTTATGGTTATGTTATTTTTGTCATAGAATAACTCGCATCGCAAGCAATCTGGGTGCGTAGCAACGTGCAGACGAAATGCACCCGGGTATGGTATTTCGTAATTTGTTAGGATTGTGACATGACACATTTTTGCCATTCGTATCAATTGTTCAGTGCTTTTGCGAGGAACATTATTCTCACA